CACAGGACATTGGTCAAGTGAAGTCTCTACCAGTCACTACCATTAGAGTGTATTATAAAAACAAACATTATGCAGAAATACAACAGGAGAGGAGATTAAGCCAAGGAGACCTATAATCAGTTGAAAAGAAGAATAGGATGAAATATAGAGAAAAAACCCTGGACCTGGTGGATTATACTGAAGCTATAAATGAAGCTAGAGTGGTCAATCTGTGTTCTATAATGAGGGAGAGGGTCAGTGAATTATCTTTCATGGAATCCTTTGACCCACCTCAGTTTGCAGACAGGAAAGGCCGAGGCACTAAAGACGCATTGACACCAATAATAATTCTTGGGGAAGTTTTACAAAAGAGTCCAAGAGTTATGCAAAACTGTATATAACAACAGTATTCTGACATTTTACTAAAGGAAAACACTTATTATATTATGGGTGATATAATATATTATATATTACATTAAATATTGGTGAAAAATAAGATTTTTGACGCTAAATGATTAAATCTACGTAACCGATAAAAATGTCAACAGGACTTTTTTAAATGTAAGGTACTGGGCTTGAGGACTGAGGTTTAGAATTATACTAAGACATTGTTGTTTTCGGTGACTATCATACGATTGATTGGCATGCCCTGTCAGTCTGTATAATCTAATGTCTAAAAGGACCACAACGTAAATTCAACTGTATGTGAAATTGGTCCAGACTACAGTTGTGAAAGCAGCAGCCTGACAAGTCATGTGTACCGAAGGGTTTTTTTTTACCAGCTAGGAGCGCTTGAGAGTTCTTTTGTAGTCCTGCTAGTCATCATTTTGTTCTGAATCTTTATTTTCCCAGAAGAGTAAATTCATTTTTTCCAGTGTTCCAGACATGAGTACACCGCAGTAAAATCAGTAAAAAAAACAACAAACAGGCTAACATAATAATAAGACCAAAACATACTCATAATGAGAAATCTGTCCCACCCATCCCACATTGTAATTGGACACATGGGTACAAGTTGAAAATGTGAAGCACAACTTCTTATTTGCAGCTCCAGATGAACTGGATGAGTGCATTTGTTTTTTTCCATCAGTTTTAAATGTTTTAAATGTTGCAATATCTTTCATTTCCAAAAGTAGACTTTACATCAAACTTTTATTGATGGCAGTTTCCTTCCTCCAAGGCCCCATTACTCTTGTTTTCTAGATGTTAACCATTTAAGATCAGCTCTGGCGGGTAAAAATGAGTTATAATGAGTATTATTGTTGACTGTACTTCTGCCATAAAAACAATTATGAGCCACTAATGTCGTGTCTTACTCATGTTATAATCATGTATATGTTTAGTGTATTAAAAGTGTTATGCCTCTTTGGTTGAAGAAGGATCCAATCATGAAAACAAATGCTGTTAAACATGCATCTCACGCAGTGTGAATCACACATTTCGTCTGTCTCTTACGAAGAACTTTTGAGAAAAACACCTCATGCTGCAACATGCATAACCCGTCAGTGTGGATGCCAGGGATCTTTGATAGGACCGTAAACTACATTTCAGAGTTCTTTAAAGGTGTGTGTCACCCTCTAAGTTATAGAGAAAGGGTTGCACAGCCAGGGCTCTTTAACACCAACTCTACAAAGTAAGAAGGGGCAAACACTCTGGCCTTTTACGGGCCAGGTGTTTGTCTTTAAATACACCTCCACCTCCTCAACATGGTCCACGCATCCTTTTCCTGTTTCCCTGCTCAGTGTGCAGTGTGGAATCAGACTGGGGTTCCTCATTTTACGATGAACCAGAAAAGTCTTTCACAGCTGGAGGTCAACGGGTGGGCAGGAACATGGATCTGGAAGTTCCCTGGAAGCATTTGTACATGTTTGCAGGATGTATGAAGCTGCTGGTGGATAATGTGCACAGTAACTGTAGTAGAATAGTAGTAGTAGTAGAACAAGCCCTTTGTGTTACGAAATCATTTGACATGAAAACAAAATTGTTGAACTGTAATTATGTCATTATGTACATAATGCCAAATGGCTTTAATTGCTTGAGTGTTTAATCATTAAATAAAACAATATGTTATATATTAAATAGTCAAATGTAAGCGTATTTGTTAAAGTCCCAAGCAACTCTCATTTGTATTGGAACCACAAACAGAGAGAGCTGGAATTGTGTCATATGAAGATACGACATACGACACTAACAGAAGGCTTTTATGAGGATGACGCAATAAATGTCATGTTTACGTGCTGTAATGATGATGTACAACTACAAATGATGCCTAACTCTAGTATGTATCCACCAAAGGCCGGATGTCCTTGTAGTAAAGGTTGACTAATCAAGGATGTATAATAAAATGGCAGCCTGACCAAAAAACCTGACATGGGTGGTATGGATGCAATGAATATGGTAGGAATATGGTATGAATATGGTATTGTGTCGTTGTGGCGCAGGGGTTAGAGAAGGTGTGCTGGGAAGCAAAAGGTTGGTGGTTTGAGTCCAGGCTGCCCCATGTTCCATGTTGAAGTGTCCCTGAGCAAGACACCTAATTGCTCCCTGGGCAAAAATGTGAAAAAGCCATGGGTTTAAAGTGTAATGTAAGTCGCTTTGGATAAAAGGGTCTGCTAAATGACCTGTATGTATGAATATGGTATTCAGACATATGGTTTACTTACCTGGTATGTCTGAAGTCACTGTGAATGATTTGAATGATCTGACTTCATCTCTCAATCTGAACGTTATTGTGGGTTCATTTTTGGTTCGGATGTTATTCGTATTGAGCTGAAGTGTGATGTGATGTCTCCAGTGTCACGGTTGAAATGTAAAGATAAGTTGATTCACCTGTCTTGGAACCTAATCAGATTTCTGTTGATTCCATCTGTAACCGGATTTGGTCTTCTGAGGAAAAAGAACCTGCACTGCCCTGTTTGCCCTGTTTGTCTGAGCACGTAACTCTTTTCCCCTTCCAAGGAATAAACAGAGAAAAACATGTTTGATTTAGACTGTATTCTTTATCCCCCATTGTTGACCAAATCTCCCACCACAATCAGCAGACATGAGGCACTGAGAGGGGAAGGCCGGAGAAGGGTCCTGAAACAAGCACACACCTCGGTCAATTTGGATGTTTGTCATGTGACTAACTATTCAGTTAAGCTAGCGTCAGCCTGGACCAGCCTGTAGATACGCTGCTGTAGGCCTAGACTCTCATATAACTACAACTCACTAAGCTTCTCCCCTCTTCTCTCTCCCTGATACAAATTCATATCTCAACAATGCACATCACTGATGGAGTGTTTGTGTTGTCTCTCCTCACAGGTTTCCATGGATCATTGCTTCATCTGGACCCTGCTGCTGCCTCCTGCCATGGCCCTGCTGTCCCCTACTGCTGGTATCATTATTATTATTATAAGTCGCATTCCGAATACTGTCATCATACACCAACATTACTGACTCTGTGCTTTCCCCCCAGGTTTCTGTGGACAGTGGTTACATCTGATGCTGGTTATATCTGATTGTGGCTGTATCTGATGGTTCTATCTGATCATGGTTCTATCTGATCATGGTTATCTCTGCAGTGGTCCTGCTTAACACCTGGCTTACTACTCTCAATATTTGAATCATTTCTGTCGTATGAGTACGTACTGTACATCTTTCACGTTCACGTCCATTGCATTCAGTCCATCCGGGAGAAGCATCCTCCTCTGCCGTTCTCCATATATTTCTTTTTTGGGGGAGTTTTTACTGTGACGATGTGCAGGTTTCGGGATAGAGGATGCCACAAAAATTGCAAATTTGTCATTTGTGATATTGGGCTACACAAAATAAAACAAATTACATTGAATGGACGAAGGTGGATAGGCTCAGAGTTGATTGATTCATCAGTAGACAGTCTGCAGCCATTTTGACATTTACAGCTCCCTCCAGGAATGAGTTAAGAGCTGTTTACATGCCTTTACATGCCCTAAAATGAAGTGTTCCATATTTGCATACAACACAGACATGTACACATCGTATTAGGCACGTGTGACATTTGAGGTTATTACTCACATCAACAGGTTCCTGTCGTCAACGACTTATTTCGCTGTCATGAAACGGAATGCCCCAGGTAAGTACTTCCACAGAGTTCTGTAGGGATAATTAAAAAAAAACCTTGCATGCAAAGTGTATTACCTCTGCTGCCAAAAGCATAGCTAAGTTTGAATGCGTGTTAATGCATGTTTATCTGCTATTGTATGTCTGTATTCATTTCAGAAGCATTAAAGAAATCTTAAGCTTAAGCTTGTTTGTAATTCTAGTTCGTAATGCTAGTATCAACAAATATTAGGTAAAATGAACAAGATTCTAATAACAGGTGATTAAAACAATTGTATTTCTCTTGTCTTCTGACGAATCAAAGATCTTTAACTCTACATGTCATCATCCACACGTTCCCAGCCATTCACACACTGATGGGAGAAGCTACCACACACAGTGACACCTGCCCATCAGCACCAACCAACATTCGCATACTTTCAAACAGCGGAACCGGGGATCTAAATGCCAACCATCAGATTGAACGACAACCCGATTTCTTTTCTGTAGCGCAAAATCTGAAATGTGCCTCTGTATTTGAGGCACAATCATGAATGCTTATAATTGTCTTGTGCTCTAATAATACACGTTATGTTTTAATAGTCCCAATGAACATTTTGGGTGGGCTACTGATGATGGCGGTGTGATGAGCACGCCATTTGCTGGATTTGTGGTAAGCATAATGGTGTGGTCTGCGACAGTGCAGTGTTTAAGAGCGAGCTAATGAGATGTGCGCATTTGAAGTCCTCCGTCTGTATTTGACACAGGCCTCAGCCTGTTAACTGTAAACCACGTAGGGCAGGAAGCAGTGCTAACCACAGCCTGTTAGACAGCAGACAAATGCAAGTATCTTGGAATGTACCTCTGCGTGTGAATGTGAAGAATGAAGGACGTTGCAAACAACAACACTGAACCTTAGAAGTCCTGTTTGACAAAGATAATTTGCACAGTTATAGGGTTTGTCTCCTCCTACTCATTGACCGGGAGGGAGAGGACCGACTTGTGTATAAATACCAAGTGCAAACGAGCTGTATCTGTGCAGGACCTCCCTCCGGAACGTGAGCCAGGTGAGTGATCACTGCATTCACACGAGGTTTAGCTTTGATACCTCCTGCTTTATGAATCATTTTCATTTTTAATCATTTTAAGGACTGATTGTTTTGTATTTTGTTAAATATTTATAATTGTGTTTTTATGTCATTTCAGCAAACCCTAACCTCGGACAAAATGGCAGGTTAGTGCATTATTTGTTTGATGTGTGGGTTTCGGGACAGAAGATGCGTACAGACTGTAAAGCCCTCTGAGGAAAAATTTGTAATTTGCAATTTTAGGCAATACAAAATAAAATAAATTGAATTTAATTGTTTGCTCACAAACTATTTTCCATTATGTCACCACGATGCCAGATTCCTCTACACCCACGATAAATGTGCACACAACCTTTTTCTTCTGAACCTATTTTGTAATCTACAGATGCAAGCTTTCAGGAGGAATTCCTAGAAACCCACAACGCCTACAGAGCGAAGCACAACACGCCAAAGATGACCCTCAACCAAGAGCTGACGGCGTCTGCTCAGAAATGGGCTGATCAGTTGCTGGCAACCAACACGATGCAGCACAGCGAGACTGCGGATGGGGAGAACATCTACGGCATGTCCAGCTCAGCACCTATTAAACCGACAGGTGGCTACTGAACCCTTTCTGTGCAAGCCTTAACTCATGTCATTGATCTAAATGGTCAATTGTTCTAAGCTAATTTGTTAGACTATACTATACTATAACTATAACTAATATGTTCATATGACGTTCATTCTGTGAATCTTTTTCTCTTTTTCACATTTTAGGGAAAGAGGCTGTAGATTCGTGGTACAGTGAGATTAAGGATTACAAGTGGAGCAGCCCTGGATTCCAGAGTGATACCGGTAAAGTGAAATCTCAGTAACAAAGTCAATGTTACACAAAAGGCCTTTCTGTATCCTTAAAACATGTTTCAAATCAAGAGGAGGCCGTAAGCCATAAACCATGTTACAACTTAGTTCATTTCTCTGTTTAATTTGCTATTTTAAAGGGGGGGGGGGTCAAAGTCTACCAACGTTACGTTGTAGTTTCTTTAAATGTTAATCATATATGTTTTTTGCTTAAGCATTTAATAGAACATGGCGGCATCAAGCAGCACACTTTGACCTCACTACTGCGCTGCGATCCCTCCTGCAGGTCATTTTACTCAAGTGGTGTGGAAAGACAGCACTGAGCTGGGTGTTGGTTTGGCCACCGACGGAAAGAGGGTCTTCGTGGTTGGTCAGTACCGGCCAGCTGGCAACATGAACATGCCGGGATACTTTGAGAAAAACGTCTGCCCGCTAGGTAAGATATTACCTCTGTTTGAATAGGTTAAGCCCATCGGCACACAATGCTGCACCATTCAACTTTACCGATGTGTACCGAAGGCAGATCCAGCTGGTTAGGATCACGCATCACAGTAAAGACCAATGGAGGAAGTACAATATTTACTGATTGGATGAAGATGATAATCAAGCACAATACGTTGTGCTCAGAGTGTGTAAAGCACGTGCTTCCGTCCCAATCACTAGCATCACAACGTCTCTTCCCATGCAGCCTGCTTTATTTCTGCTGCAGGTTTTCAGAACATTCACATGTTCCTGAAGCTATTGCTTCTTATATTTCATTGTCGTCATTTTTCCAGCTTAAAAGCTGTGCACTTCACAGCGGGCAGCGAGGTCGGTGGAGCAGGAAACGCCTCGGGTGAGGAAGGGGGAGTGAGCACAAAAACAACTTGCACACTCCTATAGATGACCATGAGCATCCCTGGAGCGCCCAACACACTGTTGCTAAATGTTCCATGTTATAAATAAAATCAAATAAAACATGTTTTTACATGAGTTTGTCTTGAATTTAACGATATTAAACGTTCACATCAGCACAGGAAAAAAATGAAACACTCGGAAGAAACCTCGGGGAGAACGTCGGAGCAGGGGTCCCTCTCCTGGGATGGACAGATACAGTTTACAGAATGAACAACGCAAAAGATGCAAAATATATATACAATTTTGCTGTTATGCATTCTTTGAAGTTTACTGAATATGAGCCCAGATTCTAACTGAAAATAGATGGGGGATGTGTAAATAGTGGGAATAGCTTATGTTCCCAACACTACTTTACTTTATCTTATTTTATTCTTACATTTTATTCATACATTGCACAAATGCACCAAGTCAAATTCCTTGGTGTGTAACATATGTGGCAATAAATGGCTTCTGATTCTTATTCTCTCTCATCAAAGCTTGGCAAATATTCACAAAAGGAAAGCTATTATTTGGAATACAGGGACACTTGTTAAGTCTAAACAATAAAAACACAGGAATGTTCGGGAAAACCACCCCAAACTTTAGGTAAAAGTTTAGGTAAAAGAGCATATGGGGAGATTAGAGGTGTTGGAAAGAGAAACCAGTTTCAGAGTTGAAAGTCTGTGTATGTTGGAATCAGTTATCTAACCAAACACAAAACATAAGTGTTTAGTTGTGAAGAAGGAATCTAATTGACTTTTAATTCTGTTCTCATTCTGTTTATTTCTGAGCAACACAAATAGATTTTCCACATCTTGAAGACGATATGAAAAGCTGTTACTAACACTAATAAACTTTGACTTGGGTAGTCTTTTTATCCGTCGTAATGTAAAGGATGCTGAATTTCGTATCACATTTCCATGGTGTGTTACCTCTTAATCTTTAGTATGTTCCGGAAGGGAGTTGGGTCTGTTGGCATCCAAGAGTAATGCAGGTTGCAGGGATGTTTGGCAAGGCAACCCCTTGAGTTAGAAAGTATGCTTGTACCTGCATGCATCATTACTAGCTTCAAGTGGTGTCATATATTTATTTCACTAACTTAAAAGCAATTCTGAAAAGTGGTCAAAATGAAGTGCAACATACTACTGTATAATCAACCTAGTGGTATTTTGTTATCAACAATAGCTGTACTTTTCATCTAATGTAATAATAATGTGTCAATATTAATATTTGCATTATTGTTGGCCCTCTCAGCACAGTGAGTGAATCATTGCCTTTTAAGATCTAACTTTGTATCATGATTCAAGGATCAAGGATGGAAATGGTCATTTAAGACTTATTTTTAACTCTGCTCATATAGTTAATCCCCCTCTCTTCCTTCTCTATTTTCAGGTATCTTTTTCTTGATTCCGGTATAATTTGGATGTAGTATAAAACGTGATAGTGTATCTATCCACTGCGATTCCAAAAGGCACCGCAAGATGGCAGCATAACACAACAAAACACGGTGCTTTACGTGTTGCATTTTGAGACAGTTTCTGCAAACATACTAGAAATCTAAGGAAATCTTTCTGTGCAAGTTAAATCGAGGTTCACTCACTAACTTAAGTGACCATTATTATTATCTATGATTCTAAAAGATTGAAAAATATTTACCCGCGACCAGTTTCAGAAAGCAGGTTTAATGCAAACTCTACTAAGTTATTAACCTCTGAGATCTACTGTCTGTAAAACACGTTTGTTATTGAAGAGGATCTAATGTCACAATCATTACACAGTTAAGTTTCGCTAGACCCAAATTAAAACCTCTGCATGTCCTTTTTTAACTTTTTATGTATAAATACACAGTTGATGTTAGATGTCAGTGATTAAACATAATGTTTTATTGGCATTTCAGATATGTCCAGTGTTTAACTTTACTACATCTTTTTAAAGTAGTTGAAATAAAACCACTGAATTCTCTTTAGTGAACATCCAAATAGAATGTCTAACATTTAAAATATTATAATATACTTTAAATCACCCAAAATCCAGTTTCAGATTATGAGCATATTGTCATGTCTCATCTGTTAATATTAACTATATATTTAATCTTCAATTGGCACTGGGGACTTTTACACATCAGAATGACGCTACAAATGTAGATTCCAGTTTTCATCATAACAAATACATTATGAATTAATAAAGTAGAGGCTGCCTTCTGTTTACCTGTTCCCATGGTTAATAGTGGAACTGGGGCTCCATCTGGCTGTCATCGTCATATGTCATCAACATTATGTTGTAAATACATGTGTTCCTCCTCGTGGTTAGCTGAATAGCTGACTAGCTCACCCTCTGACAAGCTGGCTCTAGCTCACTAGCTGACTACCTGACCATAGCGAACTAGCTTACGAGCTAACTGGTTGTTTCCATAGACATTTATGAAGGCTAGATGAGTCACGCCGGAGTGTAGAACGTCCGCACATGGCGGCCATCTTGGTACGGTCAGCTCCCTCACCGATAACATTGTGTTGTTAGTGGTACACAGTGCTGTAGTAGTAAAATTGTGGGTAAACTACTATTTTGTGATCATACCTCGACGTGATGCGTCAACACAAAGCGTTGCAACTCTGTAAGGCTGTCCTGGCTATTTTGCATTATGTTATCAGTTAAGTCATATACAATCAATGACAGTGAATAAATGTGTAGTTTATTACATTTCAAGAAAACGGTACAGAAAAGTATGTGCAGGCCTAAAAAAATGAAAGGGGTGGAGGGGGAGACAAAATAAAGGAGCTCTATTTGGACCTTAAAAAAGGCCTTTGGAAACAGGCCCAAGGTGAACCGTGTAATATGAAAAAAGCCATCCTGCAGGTTAACACTTGCCCTGCTCCTTAACCATATAGAGAAAGCTCCAAAAGTCAAAATAACTAATGAATCCATCCAAACAGTCAGGCTGATCCGCAACATGTGTGTTTCCATCCTGATTGGTGGAGCTGCCGCAGTCGCAAGGCGCTGATTGGAGGGTCACAGACCATACAGCGCACATGAAAATGATTAGACTATAGCGTTTATATGTTCAACAATATTAAACGTAGCCTTAGGTGTTTTAAAATGATTATTACAACAGAAGAATACAAGGCGCAGGGAACTTTGAGGTGCGTAAACCCCACTTCATGGTGCGTAAACGCTATTTCAAAAATTCCAGAGGTGCGTAACCTCCACTACAGCCCTGGTGGTACATGTACTTTAAATAATAATAATTTTTCAACCAAAGGTTTGGTTTGTTATAAACTTGTTATGACACTGCAACCTCGGCGTCACACTCGACAGCCAACTCTCCCTGACTCCCAACATCGCCGCGACAACGCGATCCTGTAGATACACGCTCTACAACATCAGGAGAATACGTCCCCTTCTCACTCAGAAGGCTGCTCAGGTACTGATTCAGGCTCTTGTCATCTCCCGCCTGGACTACTGCAACTCCCTCCTGGCAGGTCTCCCTGCCACCGCCATTCGACCTCTGTAGCTCATTCAGAATGCAGCAGCTCGACTGGTCTTCAACCTTCCGAAATTCTCCCACACTACTCCACTCCTCCGCTCTCTTCACTGGCTACCGGTGGCCGCCCGCATCCAGTTCAAAACATTGGTGCTCACGTACCATGCTGTGAATGGATCGGGTCCAGCTTACATCCAGGACATGGTCAAACCCTACATCTCAACCCGCACTCTCCGCTCTCCATCTGCAAAACTACTCAACCCTCACTCACTGAGAGCAAAACACTCGACTAGATCACAACTCTTTGCTGTCCTTGCGCCGAAATGGTGGAACAAGCTCTCTGAAGACATCAGGACCGCAGAGAGCCTTCACATCTTCCACCGCAAACTAAACACACACCTCTTCAGACTCTACCTCGACTAAAGACTAACAAATTGTAGCACTTAAATTGTACTTGTAACGTCACTCATCTATAGCAAATTGTAAATTGGCTTATTTGAGGAAATTGCACTTTCTTGTTTCTTGTTCTCCTGAGTTTGTACCCTATGGTTGAATGCACTTATTGTACGTCGCTTTGGATAAAAGCGTCAGCTAAATGACATGTAATGTAATGTATGAATAATGTTCTTTTTAATATCATTTTCGAATGAAACCCACGGTTATTATTTGTATTATTTATAAGTATGCTGTGTCATAAACACATCTGGGTGGGGATTTGAACATACAGCATTTCTTCATGTATATTGTAAAGGGAAATCTTGTACCCATTTTAGGGTATTATTCTATTTTTACAACATAACATAATTATACATATTATTGTGTTATAACTACATCCCTGACGTTTATAACAAACTATTTAAAAATCGGTCAAAAACCGAGCAAGTTATGGTTTAAAAAGTACATGTATCACTACCAACACAATGTTATGGGTGAGCAAGCTGCCTGTACCAAGATGGCCGCCACGTGTGGACGTTCGACTCCGTTGGCCGGCAACGCGGACGAGACATCTATATATCTATATATATATATATATATATCTTACTCTAGCTGACTATATATAACTAGCTGACTAGCTGATTCTAGCCCCATGGCTGACTGTAGCTGACGCTAGCTGACTAGTTGACTCTAGCTACCAGACTGTAGCAGATTAGCTGACTATACCTGACTAGCTGACTATGCTAACTAGGTGACTAGATAACTCACTGACTTGCCCACTAGCTGCCTGTAACTGATGCTAGCTGACTAGCTAACTCTAGCTACTAGCTGTCTATAGATGACTAGCTGGCTAGCTGACTATAGTTACTTGCTGACTCTTGTTACTAAATGCCTCTGGTTCTAGCTGACTAGCTGACTAGATACAACTATATATATATATTATAACTTGCTGATTAGCTAATTCTAGCCCCATGGCTGACTGTAGGTGGTGCTAGCTGACTAGTTGACTATAGCTGACTATTTATAACTAACCGATTAGCTAATTCTAGCCCCATGGCTTACTGTAGCTGACGCTAGCTGACTAGTTGACTCTAGCCAACTCTAGCTGACTCTAGTGGCAGATTAGCTGACTCTATATTAGCTGACTCAAGCCAACTAGCTGACTATACTTGAC